GAACTGCTGACATGGAGCAGGAGGTAAAGACAGCTGAATAACAACACAATAATAACTGCATCAATGACATGTATTGATTGTTTCGTTTTTGCCAGACCACTTATAAGCCCCTTATAGTGCTGTAGCTCATTCAGACCTCAGCACACCCCACTGAATAGGTGCTATCATCACTCTCCCTTTGTAGACAGGGAAATGGAGGCTAGAGAAGTTAAGTTACTTTTCCAAGGTCAAACCCTGGTAAGAGGAGCCAAGACTTAAATGAACCCAAGTCTGTTTGACTCCAGATCCCTGTACTCTCAAGTCCAGCCAGTATTTGAACTTGGGGGAAGTCCCTGGTGCTGAATGCAATCTGTGAAGTACAGTGCTGTGATTCAGAAGCGGTATGTGGGCAGCGGGGTGCTCGTGGCTCCCCAAGGCTCCCAGCACACCCTGCATGCTCTGGCAGCAGTGGCTCTGCTGGGCCAGAAGCCATGAGGGACAAAAGCAAAATGTCTATAAAGGGTCTGTTCTTCAGAGTTGCTCTGAAGAGGCCAGGAGCTTATTGGCGGGGTGCCCCAAAGTGAGCCAAGCGCTGCAACGTCACACACTGAGCTGGGAGTGCAAGTGAAAGGTGAGGGCGCCAGAGTGGAGGGAACTCAGCCAAGTTGCCAGGTCTTGGGCAATCACAACCGTGAGGACAAACCACTGTGCCCAAAATAACCTCCCGAGAGAATTTTAACTGACATTTTGTAGTCTCTATCCCAGTGCTGACTTTCAGGCCTGTGTAACTAGCATTGATTAGGCCCCTATTTTACATTCCACAGACACAGGGCAAGCCCATGGGTAACAAGGGAGAGCTGTATGGCACGGTCCACACTGCAGCACCCGCCTGGGCAGTACAAGCCACAAGGCAGCTGAGATTCATAGGGAGGAGTGGTCAGGGTGTGCTGGCACAGGCGGGGTGTCTTCCTGGAACACAGGAACTGAAGGACGGAAGACAGACTAGGAAGAGAACAGCACCTCAGGTAGGAACAAGAGTACGAGCCAAGGTGAGGCAGCAACAATGGGAACAAATTACTTCTCTGGCCATGAGAAACCCACTGGTGGAGCAAAGGGTTCTTGTCGAAGAACTATGAGAGATAAAGTTAGGTGAGTAGGGGAGATCGGCTCATAGAGGTCCTGGATTCCATGAATATTAGTCAAGCAAATCCAACATGCAGAATCCGGGAGTTCATCGTGTGGGTGAGACATCATCCCAGGCTGTAAACAGGCAATTAAAAATATCAATGTAATTTAGGAAGGTTTTTTTCATAGTAGTGTCTGAAATAGGTCAGAGAGGAAGACTAACAGCAAAAAACTGCCCCCCCCCAAAATCCTTAATGATTCTTTGAACATCTACTAAAAGTCTTAGTTCAGGCAAACTTCATTAACATGGTCCCTCCCCAACCAGACTTCACAGTCCAGTGAAATTGACTTTCATTAATTTCATGGTTGCCTATTAAGTATCTACTCTGTACCAAGAAAGAGTCTGGGCCTTATGGACACAGAGAAGAACTAAACAAAGTCCAGGCCCTCACGAAGCTCTTTCTGCAAAGGACATGGAAGACCACACAAAAAGCAAACCAATAAATCTATCAACATAAACTCAGGTACTAAGTCTTATTGAGAAAAATAAAGTGGGGCGTTGGGCAGAGCAGAGTGGGATGAATTGGTCAGGGAAGGTCTCACCCAGAAAATGCCACCATATTTCAAGCCCAGAGAACAGGTAAAATGGAGGTGCCACTGCTCCAAATAAGGGCATTGAGAGGGTGACTGAGTGTAGAGTACAGAGAATGTGGGGCACCTTGTTTTAAGTGTGTCAAGCTTTATGAAAACAGCAGAGTGACCACACAGAAATGTCTAGACCCTCGAACACGAGTCTATAAGACCAGAGGAAGATAAAGGTTAGTGTGTAGATTTAATAACCACCTATTGATAGATGAGTAATAAGAAACCTTCTGTCCGAAACAAATTTACATGAAATGAAAATGACTCAAGGACAGAAAAATATTGTCATTTTGTCATGTTTCCTATGATGATCCCCTCCCTACTTCATGGATCCTAGTGGGTAATGACTTCAGTGGGCAGCAAGCAGCAGGTTAACAAAATAATACTATAATAATTCAGGTTCATGCACAGCCAACCATCCAAAAGACCTCTTGTTATGGAATTTTCCTGCCTGACAAGGTTACAAGAGTAATAAGCAGAGGACACAATCCTCCAGGAATAATCCATATCCGGCCCTTGGTTGCCTTGACTGCTTGTCTGCAGACAAAAATGTAGAATGTTAGATAAGCTGTTTAGGTAACCTTGCCCGATCTGCACAAACCAATCGTATTTCCTGAACTATGAATAGCCAAGGCAAAGAAGAATTGTTGTGGCTGTTTTTTTAACAGAATTGTCTCGAAAATTGCCTCAGAGCCCCAAATAAAGATTATTGTTAAAATTTTCAGATACTCAAATTTTTGATCACTGAAACAGCTCTTTCCCATCCCCCCTTCAATCTAAATCCCCCTTCTGTCCCCTGCTCCTTCAATCTAAAACGCACATTTATAGGGACAGCTCTATCCTCTTCTGTACTTCTCTCCCTTGGACCACATGTCACCCATTTTGATTGTTTCCTCTGCAGATGGTTCTGGGTACTTTAATGTTTGGAAGAAAGGGATTTGGAAAGCAAAATAAATTTTAAATTGGCATTCCTTGTCTTGCTACAAATGGCAAGGATTAATACTGGGGTAGGCTCTAAGGCAGGGTGACTAACTGTTCCATCCTGCCCAGAATGGTCCCAGTTTCAGCACCGTAAGTCATGCCTCTTGGGAAAGTCCCTCAGTCCTGGGCAAAGAGGGACAGGTGGTCGCCAAGGCTGGTCAGACCTTCATAGCTATAACCTGTGTCTGACCTGGGTGATGCAACACAAGGCTTTACATCCCTAAAGTGACATCAGTGCTTTAAAGCATGGGCTTAGTTTCCCAAGCCCTATCTAATCTCCTACCCTAGAGCCTGGGCTCTCCTTCCCCACCCAGGCAGAGGAGCTGTGTCAGAAATTCCTAGGTAGGAAGTGATCCTGGATTCCTCAGCCCTCTATTTCCTTCATCTCCCACTCAGCCCCAGCTACTACCTAAACCAGAACAGCAACAATACGGGCAACCCTAATCCATGCCCCTTGCTGCCCTCCCTACTCGGCCTTGGCTAGTAAGCTGGCAGGGCCTGGGGGTCAAAGTCAGATTCTCAAAGAGGGCAAGATGGGAACTCATGTGAGGTGGTGATGTGCTCTACCACCGCAAATCACAAGAAAGGGGAACCCCAGTTAAATGAAAATCCACTGACCTTAAAAGATTGCGTCTTTGAGTTACAGAACACAGGAAATTCTTTGACATGTTAATTTCAGAGTTTTGTGTTCAAAGCTGAGCTGATTCACCATCAGAGCAGAAACCAGGTAAAAGCCCTGATTTCTGATAATAATGTTCTTCCAAGAGCCACGATGCTTGCCAACACTCACAGGTCTTGGCAAAGCTCACAGATCATTTCTGCCAGTTGTTAGAGACTTCTCCAAAATTATAAGGAAGATTCAAAGAAAATGGCATGACTGATATTAATCTCTACTTGGTCCCTTGTTATGGAATTTTCCTGCCTGACAAGGTGACAAGAGTAATAAGCAGGGGACACAATCCTCCAGGAATAATCCATATCCGGCCCTTGGTTGCCTTGACTGCTTGTCTGCAGACAAAAATGTAGAATGTTAAATAAGCTATTTAGGTAACCTTGCCCGATCTGCACAAACCAATCGTATTTCCTGAACTACGAATAGCCAAGGCAAAGAAGAATTGTTATGGCTGTTTTTTTTAACAGAATTGTCTCGAAAATTGCCTCAGAGCCCCAAATAAAGATTATTGTTAAAATTTTCAGATACTCAAATTTTTGATCTCTGAAACAGCTCTTCCCCATCCCCCCACCCCCAGGCCCCATTCTCCCCCCCCCCCCCCACCTGGCTCTGCTTGAATGGTTAGGACAGGCTGCTCCAGGATTGCATCACTGACCTTTGCAATTTTCTGGCCAGTCTGATTTCCCCTTCCCCGGCCAGTTCCCTTCCTTTTTTAAAGCCCTTTGGCCTACCCATTTCTCTTTTTCCCTGACTTGTTACCTCTGGTACATGAAGAACCAAAGCTAAAATAGAACACACCCCCTACACACACACACACACACACACACACACACACACACGTCAGGGATGTTTAATCCTAGTCACAGGCCTACTCTCCCAAGAGTGCTTTCTATTCTTTACCTTCTTACCCAAACTCTACTCTCAGCCTTCTGCTCCTGTACTGTTTCTATGATAAGCTGAGCTGACACTCTTGTACCTCCAGATTCAGGGAAGTGGCGAATAATTTTTTTAAATAGCATGAATCAGAGTCCAGACGAGCCCACTAACTTTTACCAACAGCCCCTCTTCCATCTTCGCCTCCTCTCAGCCCCCAACTTCACATCTAAAGGGGAAAAGGGGCAATTTGAATTTCATGGCAGTTTCCTGATGCACAGAAATATACAGAAATGCCTGTAGGCACAGAGGCTGATGTCATGTGCACACACACACACACACACACACACACACACACTGGCCATAACGGAGCACCCGAAGAAATAGTTATCAGCGACCTTAACAATGCAAGCACCTGTGAGTAAAATCAGTCAGGCTGGAAAGAAACCGTCAAAGCACACGTTGCCTTACGCAGAACCTGGACACGAGTTCTGTTCTTTGCCCGGACCCCTCCCCCTGCCTTCCTCCTCTAAAACCTGCACACCTGTGGGAAGATGACAACACTTCTGAATAAAAACCAGTGATTCTCCTGTTAGGTATAACCCTAGATACCCACATTAGGGGCCCTTCTCAGGCTGCCCAGGACGAGAGAAGTCGTGCACCCACCCACACTGCTAAGATGTACCCGGGTGCCTCCCTGGGCGCCTCCCTGGGCTCGGGTTCTCACCCTTGAGCGCACCCAGGACGTGATTTCCCACGTCCAGGTCCGCCCTCCCAGGACCCTGCTCACACTTCTTCGGCGTGCGCAGCTCGTGGCCGCCCCAATCCCCAGCCCGCCCCACCGGGTTCCTGCCCCGCTCCTCCCCTTCTTCCCCCTTCCTCCCCCACTCCCCCGCCTCCCTCTGGCTCACGCGGCGCTGGCCCCGGCCCAGGAGCCGAGGAGGCGGGTTTTGGAGAAAAGATATAAGCGGCCGCTGCCGAGGTGTCAGCTGCGGAGTCTCCATCTGGCAGAGCCGCAGCTGCCTAAGAGGAGGAGAGCGGAGCCCGCCGGGCCGACAGACGCGCCCCCTGCCCCCAGCTCGCGCAGCCTCCCGGGCGCTCGCCGCAGTTCAGGTGAGCTGGGCCGGCACAGCGCGGCGGGGCCCGCGGGCCCTTTTCTGGGGGTCGAGGGGGTCGGGGGAGGCGCGCCCAGGCAGCTGGCGCCCTTCTTCAGTGCTAACGGTCTCCTTTCTGCTCCTCTCCTCCTGCAGGTCCCTCCCGCCCCCAGGAGCCCAGAGCCGGGATGGAAACGGTACAGGAGCTGATCCCCCTGGTCAAGGAGATGATGGCCCAGAAGCCCAGCGGGAAACTGGTGAAGCTGTACTTGGTGGGCGGCGTGCTGGCCCTGTTAGGCGTGGTGCTGGGCCTGATGGAGACCGTGTGCAGCCCCTTTACGGCCGCCAGCCGCCTGCGCGAGGAGGATGCTGCCTTGGCCGCGCTGCGGGCTGTCCGGGAGCGCCGGGCCCTGCAGGCAGAAGCCCTGCGGGAGAAGGACAAACAACCGGACGCCATCCTCTGCAGCCGGGCCCTAGCCAACCGGCAGCACGCCTCCTAGAAACTGTGGGAGACCAGTAGAGGTGAAAGAAGAGAGAGAGAGAAAGACAGAGAGAGAAAGAAAGAGAGAGAGAGACCCAGAAACTAACACTGATTCAAGTAGAAGAGAGCCTGAGTCCTGTGCTGTTTGGACGGGCTTTGGAGAAGCCACTGACTCCTGGAGATGAGCTAGCTCGCAGCTCCACCACGAGCAGTCTGGGATGAGTTTCGCTGCTGTGCAGCGCCAGAGAAGGATGACATGTCCAAAACTCCGTATCTTTGAGCCCGGTGCATCTACCATTTGCACTAGAGCAGAAGGAGGAGAAGTGCTTTTTATATTATCGGTATTATTATTATTATTATTGTTTTTACAATGACCATCATTTTTAAATAAAAGATATTTTAATACAATCTCTCAGTCTCTGATTCCTGAGGGGCATGACCCCCCGGGCTGGGCGTGCTGGTGCGAGGAGTCAGGCCTGAGTGAGCACCGCGGAAAGAGGGCAGCTCCCCACAGGTCAGGAAATACTGTCTTCACTGCTAGGGAGTCTGCTGGTCATGTTGCATGCTTGTAAGTCTGTTGAGGATTTGGTTTTGTTCCACGTTAAGGGTGGGAAGAGAAAAACCTCTCTAAGTCCCACCAGACTTAGCATTTTAGGTGAGAAGCTAAATCAACTTCTGAGCTAGAGTACATGGATAGGAGGGGGAAAAAAAAAACATTTGTCACTTCACACCTGTGTACCAGAGGCTCCTATGGCTGATACTGCCTTCTTCCTAATTGTATTTTAACAAGAGAAGGAGGGCAAGAGGAGGGAGAACGCCAGGCAGCTGGTGGGTAGGAAGAGACTGAAGGCAAGCTTCCAAGAACCCCTAATTAAATGTCTGGTTCTGCCCAGCCTTCCTCCTTAGGAACTCAGATCACAATAAGAGAAGCTCTTGGTTAGAAGGAAAAAAGACAGGTTGGCACAGAGGCACAGACCTCAGCCCTCTCCCTCCCAGGACAAAGTTTTCTTGCGGTAATAGCTACTTCAGTGTCTCCATAGAACTCAGCAAAGGAAATTTTGAACCATGGCTCTTAAGGAGGGAGCTAGGGGCATGGGCCTGATGGCCACTCTCCTTGCAATTTTAACATGTCTCCTGCCTCACCAAACACAGACACTTCACTCTTGTAGTCAATAGCTATGCCTTTTTGCCAAACTCACCAGTGGCTCCTGTCATTGGCTCTGATCAGACGCTCTCTCTACCACCTTGCCCTCCCACACACCCCTCCACGTTGTTCCTGCTCAAATCCTACCCAGGCTTCCCGGCTCCAATAAAATGTCATCTCCCCCTGTGATGTAAGTTTTGACTCCAAACAAAAGAACAATCAGAATGGGGTGGTATTAATCAAAGGAAAACAGACATGTAAAGGAAGAGAAGAATATGGCACCACTGTTCTCCCTGTTTCCAAATTGGGAAGCTCACCTTTCTGTTAATACATAACCTCGCCTTACATGTCCAAAAACTTCTTGGGAATTCACCCAATCTCATTCTTCCAGCTGGTCTTCCCAAATGCCTCCCCTGTTATGTTAATGCTTTCTCCTTCCATTTAGCCACGGCCCTGTCCAGCTCTCAAGAGTTCAAAAACCACCCCCTAGGACATTCACCCCAAACCAAGCCCCTGCCAGACTGTCTTCCTTCCATCCTGCCACGCCTCCACTCAGGAAATATCACAGACTAAACTCCATGCCACAGTGTGTCTGTGCTCTGCTTCTATCCCAGCCTTTCAATGCCTTCTCAGACTGCCCAGCACGTACCTTGGCACCTCCTTTTCAGTGTTTTGTACCTTTGTTCACATTACTCTTCCCACCTGAACATCCTCCAACCTGCAATCTCCACATCTTCTGAAGCCAACATCAAATTCTCCAAGACAGGTATGATCTGACGTGTTCTGCCTATTGCCAAACCATATATCAAATCATACACTCCAATTTTTTGTTTAGAAGATAATGCCTGTTTTTAGGTTTGCCTGTGTATAAGAAAATATATATTTTACATATTTGCCTGAATATATAAGTGATGCCTATATATTTTTAGTTTAAAAGCTATGCCTCATGTTTATATATGTTCAAAATACCCAACTCAATTAAGTCCACATTATTGAAATCTTCTCTGTTCTAACTGATCTTCTCATTTTTCTGAATTCTTATAGATCATACTGTCTGGGTTTCATACTGGATTACTCAGAAGTGAAGTTTTTTCTTCGGTTGTTTTATGGATTTCATCATATTTCTCATAGTATAATCTTGAGGTCAAGGACTATAGCTTCCTCTTTAGTGGTTATAGAAATTATCAAGTCCTAGGGAAACTGCAAGTTCTTAATAAATATTTGATTGCTCAATTAACTGACTATGAAGTTAGAGCAATGGTTCCCAGCGGGAGAGGGAGCAACTTTGTCACACCAGGGCACATGTGACCATGTCTGGAGACGTCTCTAGTTGTCTGGTAGGGAAGGAGGGACACTACAGGTAACATCTAGTGGGTGGAAGCCAAGGATGCTGTTAAACATCTTGGAATGCACAGGATAGCCATCCACAACAAAGAATCCTCCAGTTCAAAATGTTTATAGGACTGAGGTCGAGAAACCCTGGGTTAAAGAAAAGTAAGGGGAAAGGATCAGCTTAGTGGTTTTAAAACCAAGAATTTGAAGTAGTCTCACAAGACAATGCCTGCTTGTGAGCCAACATGATAAGACCCTCTTCCAATCCAGTAACAAAATTGGTCCTTGGCCCTGTCCTAGTTGACAATGTCATCAGCAATCTAGGAGAAGTCACAGAAGGTACACATCAATTCTGGTGGTGATGGAGAGCTGAATAGTAGAGTCAGGATTCAAAACAACTCAACAGATTGGGGCCATGCACTGAAGCTAACTTATTGGAATGAAATAGGGAAAAAGAGCACAGAATTATGGTCCAAAAAAAGCAGATGCATAGCCACAAATTATGAAAGCTTATTCTAGCAGCAGATCATGTGAAAAAGACATACGTATTTCCACCAATTACAAGTTCAACATAAGCCAACAAGGACTAGTGACAGGATTGTTAAAACAAAATAACACCTTCCTGGTGAAACTAGAATATCCAGAAAGAGGGAAGAGAAGTTGTTGTTTTTTTTTTACTTGGCCATCTGGCAGGAGAGAAACAAAAGAAGTTAAGTCCCACTGCCTGGATTGCTTGGGTTTGCATTCCAACTTCTTATTTATAAGATTTAAGGACCTCAACAAGTAAGTTACTTATAAACTGCCTGCCTCAAGTTACTTATATTTTCTTCCCATCTATAAAATAATGTTTCAGATTAAGTGAGTTAAGTGCTTAGAGAGTACCTGGCATGTACAGTGGACCCTTGAACAATGTTAAGAGCACTGACTTGTGTTGCAGTCAAAAATCCTAATATAACTTTGGCTCCCCCCCAAATCAACTACCTTCAGTATTCATGGAGGATTGACTCAAGCCCCGCTGCATCTGGGGATAGCAAAACCTGTGGATGTTCAAGTGCCCCATATAAAATAACATAAATCAATGCATACAGTAGCCCTTCAAACCATGGATTCCCAATCATGGCTTGAAAACAGTACAAGTATTTTTTAATATGTTATTTATTTATTTTTAGAGAGAAGGGAAGGGAGAGGGAAAGAGAGGGAGAGAAACACTGAAGTGTGAGAGAAACATCAATTGGTTGTCTCTCACATGCCCCTAACCAGGGCCCAGCCACAGAAACCAGAGATGTGCCCTGACTGGGAATTGAACTGGTGTCCTTTCGGTTTACAGGCCAGTGCTCAATTCACTGAGCCACACCAGCTAGGTCAAAACAGTTCAAGTGTTTATTGAAAAGGTTCTCGTAAACATAGATCCATGCAGTTCTAACCTGTGTTGGTCAAGGGTCATCTATGGTGAGCTTTCAGCCAATGACTGTTGTTGTTGTTATAATTTAAGACAAAACTGCTTCAATTAGAGTCACTTGGACAAATAAAAGTCAAGAAACCCTGTCACATGCAGAAGTAAATGGATCACTAGAGAAGAGAAGATACAGTTGTGTCACAGAGCAATTGCCTACAAACAGTTGAAGACTGCCATATTGATCCAATACAGAATAATAAAATGGACTTATTTTATGTGGCTTGAAAGTACAGACCCAGGACTGAAAAGCTGGAGTACAAGGAAGCATATCTTAGGTCAAGAAATCAGAGTGTTTCAAAACATAATGAGGTGTCTCCTGATGTTAAGTAGCCCATTACTAAAAGCACCCAAGAGGAGGTTAGAAGTCATCTGCTAGGGGCCGAATAACCTGAAGAGGAAATTTCTGAACTTGAGGGATGTTAGTCTCATGACCTTTGGGGTCCCATGCAATTACAAGAGGCTAGGATTCTGTTTTGTACAATTACCAAATAAGGGTTGCTTTTCTAGAACGCACCACCCCACCTTTTCTCTGTTTCCAATATATTCTCTTCATTCTCTCTCTCAGCAGGTCGACAAATATTTTCCTTCTTGCTGGATGACTTTTGAAAGTAATGAATTTAATTCCCCAAATAAACTACCTCCCGATTAAATTTATCTAATGAATACTCTTGCCTCTTAGAAAATACCTAAACCTACTGGTTGAACCTAATAGTTCTCAAACTTGGTCACAATGAAACACTTATTGGTCGCTCTGCTCTGTACAAAACATGGAACTCTGATCTCTGAATATAAGTAAATATATTATTTTGTGTTATATCAGATACCAATTTGCACTATGTTCAGCGAAAACAAATACTAGGAATCAGCTGTAAGAATATTTAAAAGTTAACACAGGCTTGGGAAAAGTTTGACTGCTCTATCATCATGATACCCAGAACTAGTTTTGAACCTATCAGCTCAATCAATGACGACTCACCAACACACTTTTACAAGCCAACCAATCAGTGATAGCCCAAAGGGCCAGCCAACCAAGAACTGACTCACCCATAAATACATTTCAGAGTGCCAACCAATCAACAAATAAATATGCTTCCATAGATTATATCAGCCTACCTGTGTGTGGGAAAGGACACCAATTCCCGAACTCAAATCAACAAGTCTACTTACTGGGTTCCTCGGGCTCAAACCGTATTTGTTCTTCAATCTGCTGCCAGATAAATCAGGCCGAACACTAATCTAAACTCAGCTAGCTTCATTGACCTCTCACCTCAATCTTTGTATAAAGTAATTAGAAATTTTAGTTTACAGATGTGCATTCTAGTAAATAATTATATCAAGGCTTTTGTATAAGGTCATTAGACATTGTGTTTAGAAGGTATATCTTTGACTAATTAGACACAGGTTTGTGTATTTTCATTAGACACTTTGTTCTGGAACTGTACCATTTAACTACTTTTGTATTAAACTGCTTATTCT